CAGCTCACCAATAGGAAAAGGCAGGACACGCAATTCAACCTTGGGGACCTTGTCTTAGTTAAACTCCAGCCCTATCGTCAGACAACGGTGGCTCAGCGTTTAAACTCAAAGTTGTGCCGGTGATATTTCAGTCCATTCAAAATCATTGCCAAGGCAGGACCGATGGCTTACACTTTAGCATTACCACCGGAAGGCAAAATTCACCCCACCTTCCATGTCTCTCTGTTCAAAGAATTCAGGAGCGATGTATCCACAGTATCCTTTCCCTTACCAAAGTAGAGCCATGCCAACAGACCCCTGATTTATCCCACAGCCATCGTGGCAACTCGTGAATTACGAGAGCAAGGTAAGACCATTAAGCAGGTACTAGTTCAGTGGTCGCACAGTCTCCAGGAGGATGCCACCTGGGAGGAGCTCGAGCCTTTCTATCAGCTCTATGATCTGCCTGACCTTGAGGACAAGGTCAAAGTTGATGAGGTGGGAAGTGATACGTGGGAAGTTTTGAACTTGGAGGAAGATTGGATTCAGAAGAAGATAAACAAATGGGCTGGGTCTTAGGCCCCAGAAGACTATTGGGCTGCTGAAACAATTCAGGCTCAGGCCCAAGACAACCCTTCTCCAGCTAAAGCTCAGCGTGCTGGATCAGAAGAAAAGTTCCAGAAAACTCAAGAAGGAGAGGAAGACACAACGCGTGAGAGAATGACGCGTAAGAGGCCAAGCTGGTTTGAGGATTTTGAGCTGGGGAAAAACCATTGAGAAGTGCGGAGCGCGGCTGTGTTCGTTAGCAAATTGTTATTTTGTCACTGTATTCAATAATTCTGTTAGTGGGGAATTCGGGAAAATGGGAATCGAGTATAAAGGGAACCTTTGTCCATATAGGAGATTATCATGTAATTTGTGGAGACAATCCTGTGGGAGTTTGGCACTGACTCAAAGAGTGCAATATTCAATACAAACCGTTTACGTTTGTATCAGACGATGACAACATTTTACCGTCAGCAGACTTACCGGGCTCCGTAAACCCTCCGGCGCCTCCGGTCGTCGACGATAGCGATGACTACAACATAGAGATGGCTCCAGCGTCGCCGTTGGTGGTGTTGCCGTCGACTTACGAGGCAGAAGTGGAGGTTGATCCTGAACTGGCTGAAGAGATCAAAGCATACTTGATTAGCCAAGAGGATGATGATCGACAGGCTCGGACGGCGGTGGTTGTGGTGGGTGCCATTTGCTTGTTGGAGTGGGAGGGTTTATGTACAAGAAGAGGAAGGGCGGTATAGTAAAGAAGTCGCAGTATCAATGCTTAAAAAGGCATTACAACAAATATCATTATTAATAGACCAAAAACGCTATTAAGCACTACCAATAGTGTTTTGTGGAGTGTTAGGACATCAGACGCTATTAAAAGTCCTACGAAAACATAGCGTTTTAAGAGCAATATGAGAAACGTTATAGAATTGAGGTCTTATAACGTTTGAGACATGTTATTTTTAGCCTCTTATAACTATTTGACATTGCTACGGTACAGATCAATAGCTTTTTTCCCTTGTTATGTTCATACTCATGTAGCTTTTTAAGTCAATCACGATCTATTTTACCAATAGTAAAAGTAATAAGTACTAACGTCCTATCTACTTTTATCATATTAATATCATTTTGAATTCATTCAAATAGATGATAATTCCGAACAACATCTTACATCCAAATAGGAACATTCAAATTAAAACATAAAAACAATCAATGTTTCAATTGTTATCAGTATCTACCAAGTTGGCAATAAGATCATGTCTACAACATAAGTCACACAATTTGTCCAGAACCTTAACATTCAAAAAAAAGTAAAGAAAACAGAGGAATAATTAGAGATATCAAAGTATCCAAAATGTCTAGCTAAATAAAATGGTGAAATAAATCCTTCCATCTTGACAAAATGCTTCAACAAAAAAGTCATATCCTCTATTTAACCTGTAAGAAAGTGATCAACTATCAAAACAATGATCAAACTCAGCTCAAACTTCCACCATTTAACCTGTAAATAAAGCAATGACTAGTTACACCATTCAAAACTACATAGTCACATCCACATATGTTTTGCAGTGAATTAGAGGAAACATGGCTTCAATGATGCACTGGGCAAAAATTTAATGTCAAACTTGTAAGACAGAGAGTATCTGACATGTATTATTATGTAGATAATTAGAGAAAGCATGAGTCTTCATTGCCTACATTTAAACCTGAAGAGAAAAAAACTTGCTATCACAATCATATAAGCAAAAGATTATAGCCTTTAAGCTAGTGAATTCACTACTAGAGAAATCTACTTAGATGGACTACGGTATTAGGAATCACCTGCATTGATGGTGGCTTCAGTTGTACTCTCAACTCTCGAATTGAACTCTGTGCAGCCAACAATACAAAACATAAAAAATTATAATTCTCGCAAGGAAAAACAAATTACCTATTTTTTGTCGAGTAACGGAGTTAAGGTAGCAAGTCTTTGGTTTAAAAATAATAGTGTCCTTAAGGTGGCATACTCTTGTCATATCATTTTGCTTTATTTTTCTGTAAATAAAAAGTTCTAACCAACTGAATATGCAAAATCATGGACACACTCTAAACAGAGTCAGTCTGTGTTATCACATGCATACAACATCATCTCCAAGGAAAAGACATGCAAAGAGAACTATGAATGCAAATGTCACTATGAATGCAGCATCCTTCTTTTTTACTTTTTCTAACTAAATAAATGCGAGATAAGGAAGCAGAATTATAATGCGTGAAAACATGAATCCCCATGTTTGTTGAAAATAAAAGAGCAAACAATATCTAAGATTAAATCTGTTTTCACAAGGACTCCTGAGAGCTTTTCAGGCTCTGTGGGTATAGGGACCAGAACTGAATATATATATATATATATATATATGTATGTATGTATATCTCATGATGGAGTTGCTCTCCAAGAGTGCAAGCTTCTACGTATTTTGTAGTAGTATATATATGTATGATGGGATTATGTGTTATATATTCTTGATCTTAATACGCGCAATCCAGAATTTAATAAATTGTATGCAGAAAAGAAATGGTCATTTATCCTTGGAGTCGTCTAAGGATATCGAGTTGTAATTTATCAAGAAGAATTTGCGGTCCTTGAGAGGTGCTAATAATTAACTTGTTTTCAGTTTCTTAACACAACAAAAAGAAAAATAAATAAATAAATAAATAATGTTCCCGTTTCATTTGATAAGTTGCGTGTTTGATAAGTATAAAATGTTGTTTTTGTTTTGAAATGCGCGGAAGTTGAGTTTGAAAGAGTCTCACATTGGAAAAATCAAATAAAAAAACAACAACTTATTTCTTCAAACCCCGTTGTTTTGGTTGTTAGATACATGCTATAATTCAAATCATAATTCATAGTTTACTATAATATTTTCTCTCATAAAAAACACACATAAATTGAGAATGATTCTAAATCATAATTTTAAATTTATCAACTCAACGTCCACTAAATAAAATGTAATATTTTGACTTGGAGCATTTAACTTGAACAATAATGACTCTTTTTTAACCATCAACAATAATATAAAAATTTAAAGGCATATTTTAGTTACTATGTACAAATTCTTATTAGACATTGGTTAATATATTAATTCTAAAATAAAAAGTATAAGAGCATGGATTGTGGAGAGAAGGTCCAGAAGTTTTTTTCCTCGAACTTCTCATAACTTTGTCCTATATAAATCAAATTTCTCTTAATTGGTCCAGAAGTTTCTACCCTCAAACTTCTCATAATTTTATCATTAATAAATCAAATTTCTCTTAATCTAATCCTTTCACTATTTTATAATTGTTTGTATTTATGAAATGAGAAAATATTAATAAGAATAAATTTGTCATTTTATGTCCCAATAAAAATTAGTACTAAAAAAAGTTTTTTAAAATGTTAAAATATCATTTCTATATTATAAAAAACACGAAGTACTAAGAACGTATTTCACTACAACACAAAAGATATCAAAAATAATTTTATTCAAAAAAAAAAGCATCTCTTCTTCCACTTCACTTCTCAAAGTGTATCACCAAGTTGCGAACCCCCTCCGCCCTCACCCAACGAGCCTTTGTCGATCCCCCTCTTGATTCTACCTTCCACTACTCTTTTGGGTATGATACAAGTTTGGGGAAGAAATCTCTGGTTCCCTATAAAGTTACAGATTAATTTGTATCGGGCCAAAGGGAAACCCATCATTGTTGGCTCGATACTGACCAGGCTCGGCCCGCTTAAGCCTCTTGGTTGGCCGGGCCAATACCTTAGATCCAAAACTATTTTCAGGCGGGGTCAACCTCGCCCAAAATGCTTTTATTTTATTATTTTTAAGAGAAAATTATTGAAATTATCCTTAAGAGTGCATGATTATAAATTTTTACCCTTTATTATTGATTAAACCTTTTAAACTAATATAGTTTTTTGACTAACGGGTATAAATCGATAGTAAGAAGTAAAATTAAAGACCCGTGCACTTTAAAGGATATTTGTTTCGTTTTTCTTTTTTTAATATTCCTAGTAAAAGTCCAAGCTGGCCCGACCCGACACTAGGCCTGTCACACTTTAGGGACAGGCTGGGCTGACCTTTCTACCTTTAGAGTTCGGTCTAATTAAAATAATAGGCTGGACAAACCTGAATATCCCTTTCGAATCGTCGGGTTAGGCGACTTGAACTTTCAACTCTAATCCACTAATTGAGCTTTTTTTTTTTGTTTTTTAAACAAATTATGTTAAGAAAATCAAATTAACCTAGACCTATTTTCAATCTTTCAAAAAAAAAAAGATTAACCTAATCATGTTTTAAGATTAAGTTTTAATAATCAATGCCATTTTTTAATATAATTTTAAAATGAATGTCACATCAATAATTTCATTATAGACGAAAGTGTATGAAAAAGGTATTTTAAACCTTTTTTTTTTTATAAATCGGGAATGTCATTTTAAAAATTTAGGGACATTGTGGAATATGATACATAGTTTGGGTTATTTATGAAATTAATCTCATTCTGATATTTCCACGCTCTGGTACGTGATTAGAGTAAAATACAAGTCCAAGGAAGGTCTCTTCTCTGTTCTCTGTCTGCAACTTCCGTCCAAACCAGTTTCTTTCTCTCTCTAAAAGGTAATTCCTTCTACAACCATGGAGTTTCTCTCTCTAAAAGTTTTTTTTTTTTTTTTTTTTTTTTTTTTTTTTTTTTTTTTTTTTTTTTTTATTTTTTTTTTTTTTTATTTTTTGTTTTTTTGCAAATTTAATCTTTTCTGGATCAATTATCGGCACATTGATTTAGATTCTGAGCAAGTTATAAGGAGAGAAATCAATTATCAAAGTTTTGATTTTTTTAATTTTGAATTTTTATCTTCGATTCTGAAATCTGATCTGTTTTCGGGAGATCGGTTTATTTGCTGTGCTAGATTTAGATTGCATTGTATCTCAAAAATCTGAAATCCCTGTTGACAATTGATCTGTTTCATTTTATGTCCTTTACGAACAGAGCAATAAAATGAAGAAAAATAAGAAATTGCTCGCAAGATTTATATGTTTGCCCTTAATTTGAGGATTACGTTCGTTTTCAGCGGCGAATTTTACTACTTTGAAAAAAAGTTTACAAGAAATCACACCCCTATGTCTGTGAGACTCTTTGTTGTTCTTTCTCTAACCTCAATCCTTAAATCGATGGGCCCCATATAAGAATAATTAGGGCAAATCCTTAATATAAGATCCATTCGCGTGCTAACTTTGTGTCACCACAATAAGAGAAATACCACTTTACACTACAAAAATTTGGCATTTTTTAGTTTTTTTTCTTCAAAATTTTGGTTTGAAGTTGATTTACATTGGTTTCCCCATTTTGTGATGGCATTAAGTGGGAATGTGGGATTATAAACTTTCGAGATGATAGACCCTTGACACTGCAGAATTTGGATTACATTTCTAGTTACTGTTATTTGCGTAAAATACTTGAATTTCATGATTTAGGTTGTCATTCTTCTTGTTAGGAACCTAATATTTAGAAGTCTTTTTCAATAGTCTTAAGGAGAGTATAAATAGGGGGTTTAGTGGCTAGGGAGGAGAGAATTAGATTTGTAGAGTGTCTAGTGCTGTGCACTATTTTGGAGGTCGGGAGTCCTCGAAACCGCCCATCTATCTTGTAATTTTCCATTTCTAGTATTGTTAATGAAGCATAGATTTTCAGGATCCTAACAATAGTATTAGAGCATCGATAATCCACGCAGCTCTTTGAGTTGAGAGAGAAACTTCGGGCTGCTCTAAGAGCTAATTACAAGGTTTCTGGAGGGAGTATGGGGGAACTCCGGGACCATGTGGGGAAGATTCGGACCCAGATGGGTGACGTGCAGGCGGCGCTACGGAGGATGGAGGCACTGCTGGCGGCGCAGCCGATGGCCGGGGAGGCCGAGTTGGGTCGCGACGGCGAACGACGGGACGGGGAGAGGCGAGATCGCGCGCCTCGGGGCAAGGAGAGACCAGATCGTGTCGACCCAGGCGGAGTGGAGGTGCCAAATCGGGCGGATCTTCGCCGGGAAGCGCCGATTCGCGAAGATTGAGGCCGCGAGAGGGAGTTCCGACGCCGGAGAGACATGGGTCTCATGAAGGAGCGCGAGATCCGTCGCGATCTGGGGCTGGGTGGTCCGGATCTATAGCGCGAAGGTTTGTTCGACGACGGGAGGAGGGCAGAAGGAGGTCGCGACCGTCGGGAGAGGGCGGCGGAGCTTGGTCGGCGACGAGAAGTGCAGTGGGAGCCGGAGTTAGAGGAGGAAAGGCTTGCTCCGAGGCTGGGACGGCATGGGCACCCTCGGAACAGGGAACCCAGCCCTGATTCGGTCGCGGTTGGGGCTGATTCCGGCCCGGTTTGGACCAGGCCTCGCGATTCCGACGTGGAAGGGGCTTGTTCCGGTGCTACGGAGACAGATTCCGGCGCGACGGAGGCTAGGCTCGACGATTTGGCTGTTGTTTGGACCGGGCCTCGCGATTCCGGTGTGAAAGGGGCTGGTTCCGGTGCTATGGAGGAAGATTCCGGCGGAATTGGAGTGGGGTCCATGAATTCCGACGTCCTTAAGGTTGGGTTTTGTGATTTTGACGCCATTGGCGAGATGATGGCTAGGACGGGGAATTCTGATGCGAAATCCAGCGATTTTGGGGCTGAATCCCAAAATTCTGTTCGGAAGTGGGCTGGGTCTAGTGTTTTCGGTATGGGCAGAGTCAATTTTGGGGTTGGGCCTCATAATTACAATATTAGTAGGGCCTAATTCTGGTGCAATGGCAGTCGAGCCTCAAAACTTTAACACGTTTGGGGCTGGGAATGGTACGATTGCATATGGGAATGAAGAAATTGGTGAGAGTGAGGCTGTAAGGTTGATGTCCTGGTTGGCTAAGAAGGAAACTCCCTTAGTGAGGATCGATTTGTCAATATTTTTTGTGACCATTGCTGAGCTTGCGTAGAGAGTTTCAAATGAATTGATAGACTTTGTGGTTGCTTTCCAAGATACAAAGAAGATGGAGAAGAAAGTAATTGATTGGCTCCAATTTGAAGATATGACTTACGAGGATAACATCAATTTAGGGACTCAAATCAAGGAACTAACAAAGCCTTTTATTCTTAATCATTTAGATTTTATTTTTCAATTTTATTTCTTGATTTTCACCTTGAGGACAAGGTGATTCTTTGGGGCGGGGGTAATGTTAGGAACCTAATATTTAGAAGTCTTTTCCAATAGTCTTAAGGAGAGTATAAATAGGGGGTTTAGTGGCTAGGGAGGGGAGAATCAGATTTGTAGAGTGTCTAGTGTTATGCACTATTTTAGAGGTCGGGGGTCCTCGAAACCGCCCATCTATCTTGTAATTTTCCATTTCTAGTATTGTTAATGAAGCATAAATTTTCAGGATCCTACACTTCTAAACAACACGGCAATGTTATTGCTGCTTCCTTTACTTTTCCTTCTCAAGTTTTGCTTTAGGGTGGTTTCATTCACTATATGTGTATCTAATTCTTATCGCAGACTGCTGTATCTACAGAAATCATGGCCTCCAACAGGAGTCAAGGTGGAATTCAACAGCTGCTGGCTGCAGAACAAGAAGCCCAACACATTGTGAATGCTGCCAGAAGTGGTAAAAATTTTTCTCAAGTTCAATTACCTTTATGCTTGTTGGTGCCATATTCAATCTATAGTACGTTGTTTATCATATAAAAGAGGTTTTCTATTTGTTCAATTGTTAGTCTATTGGCCTTCCTCAAGTTATGTGCTTGTATCGATCCATTACTTTAAACAAATTTGGTATCAAGTTTGTGCTTTAGGAAGGTCTTCTATGCTTTCCAAGTTATAAAGATCTCAACAGATAATTTTTGTTTATTTTCTACGATTCCTTTGCTGGGGGAGAGGGAGAAAAAGGGGTGTCTTTAGGTTTTTATACTGGAGTTCTGCCTGTTGATTTATGTAACTTACTCTAATTTTTCCTTGTTGTGCTCTCAGCGAAAATGGCTAGGCTGAAACAAGCCAAAGAAGAGGCTGAAAAGGAGATTGCTGAATATCGTGCACATGTGGAACTTGAGTTCCAGAAGAAAGTTGCAGCTGTAAGTTAGCACTTAGCCAAGCATTTTTCAGTCTCTAAAACCTGACTAGTTGGCGATGCCGTCTTTATGCTTTGCATTTCGAACTTTTATCAAATTATGCTAACTTGAATATTATCAGTCGTTTTCCTTCCTTACTACTGCCTTTTCTCCCCTATAGTTCCTAAATATGTAGTGATTTTTAACGTTGTTCATGCTGCCATATTGTCACCAAGCAGAGCAGTGGAGATTCAGGTGCGAATGTCAAGCGTCTTGAACATGAAACTGATGCTAAGATTCATCACCTGAAAACGGAGGCATCAAGAATATCTCAGGATGTTGTCGAAATGCTTCTGAAGCATGTCACAACTGTGAGAAACTAAGCCCGGTTATGGCGGACCTGAATTATTACTTAGCCCGGTTATGCTCATATATCTTTATATGTCTTTGCGTTTTTTTTGAAGTTTGACTTCTGAAGCATATAACAACTGTGAGAAACTAAGCCCGGTTATGCTCATATATCTTTTCTTTGTCTTAGCATTTGTTTGAAGTTTGACTTCTGAAGCATGTCACGACTGTGAGAAACTAAGCCCGGTTATGCTCATATATCTTTATATGTCTGCATTTTTTTGAAGTTTGACTAAGAATACCTGGTTTGTCAGTTGCGATCCCACCATTCTTGTGATAAAGATTAGAGATGGGAAATTTTGGAAGTTTGATCTAAGATGCTTATATTAAAGCTATGTTTTGCTTTGGTTTTTTGAAATAACTTTGCATTTCCGAAAACAACTATCTACCTCCATAATTTGTAACTTAAATAAAAAATTTATCATCAAAGATTCAAGTAGAGATTTATTTATTTATAAAATGGTACGTTTACTTTAAAAAAAACAATGATAGAAAAACACACACACAAAGTTGTTAACGAAGCTTGCTGATATCCACAGTTGAACGGTAAATTCCAAAAATGTGAATGTTGCCGAGTGTTGTCTAATGTTATGTTCTTTGGCTAGTTCCGTGACCAGCCATTCTAACAGATTCTTTTTTACGTGCAAAACAATCTCTCTGTTGAGTCAAACTTCCAAACATGATCTTGTCCTACATGCCATACCAGCATTTATATCATTATGATCCCAAAGAGAGTGAAATTCTGAAAATGACCACTCTATTCCAATGCTTGACCAACTATGAAACTGAAAGTCATATTCTCTTTGGTACATTCAGATATTGCTAAGATAAATTTATCTAACCTTTTAATCAGACACTGATCAAAATGAAAAAGGAAGCTTCTCCCGTAAATCTCAAAGAAATAAACTACCCGCGGTTTCTTATTTTCAACATTCAAATCTAGTTAAAATCACATTAGTTTAAAAAATTATGCAGAATGAATAGTTTCGCTACATATTTAACGGCTTAAAACAAAGAACTACTGGTAATTCATTTTTTTAAGACCTACAAGAGAAACTCTCCATGAATAACTTTTCTTGGATACCTAGTATAGGTTGTAGCTAATGAAATTTTATAATATTGCAGTAAGCAGATAAAAATTAGTATAGATTTCTGTCATTAAATTCCAAACACGTTGCACAGAGAACAGCCCAAGTAAAACATCTAAGATAAGGTTTTGGGACATACCACATGGAGGGTCAGCATCACCTCTATAAGAAGTGGGTCCCATAAACCAATAATAATAATAATAATAATAATAATAAACACGAACATCATCATCATGATCATCTTGTTCATCCCACCTTGTCCCCCAGCCGCATCCGTGCCTTTGATTTCTTGCCCTTCTATTCTGGGGCTCCCCCCCTTGCCCCCCAGCCGCATCCGTGCCTTTGATTTCTTGCCCTTCTATTCTGGGGCTTCTCTGCCTCAAGAGTTATTGATTTTGACAGAACTTGGTCCAAAGCAATGCTTCTTGTTTGTTATTTGGATTATCTATTAATCTTAGAGGACCACTATTAGCATGTGAATTATCTCTTAAACCCCATATCCATTCATACTAAAAATAGAATGAATACTATTAGTAATGTTGTATGGTCATTACTTGTGTGTTCAAATTTTTTATGTACTTTAAAGTAATTAGCTTGAGACTGGCCAATATTACACATGTGGGCTTAAACGATATCAATAGAACTTCTTTATTAATACGCAAGTTGTAAAAAATAATGTTTTCTTCTGCTTATAGGGATCCGAGGATTTTTACCGTTTGGTTTATGGATTAAAATCATGAGATTAGAATTATTTTCGATTTACGTGTATTTTTTGTGAGAAAAAATACTATAGCGAACCATGAACTATGATTCGAATCAGAAAACGAATCCTCTAACCAAACAGACTCGTCATTTTAGACAAGAACGGTTGTGCTTTCCAAATGCAAATTGTTAATCTTACCACAATAAAATCAAGCATGAAAACTTTATGGTAACGTAGGAAAAATACCCCATCAAAATGCGAAGTTAATTATAAAAATAGTTAAACTTTAAAAGTTTGACCATCAAAATATAAGCATCTTATTGAGTTTTTTTTTTTTTTTTTTTAAAAAAAAAAAAACCTACCAAAATTTTTTTTTTTTTTTTTTTTTAAAAAAAAAAAAAACCTACCATAGAATTTTCCTACTTGGAAATCTATGAATTAAATTTTCTATGGTAGAGCATGGTAGATCCCAAGTTACTCGGTGCATAAACAATGAACACTATGTTTGATACGAATGCACTGAACTGGATTTTGTGGTGGTCCAAAGAGATCTTCTTGGGTTCCACACCAATTTTCTCAATCCACCAATCAGATTTGGTTTCTGTAGTATTCGGATATCCTTAGTAGTACCACAGCTCCATTTGAGTTTGGGTTTGACTGTAATAAAAAAGCAAGAAGAGAGAGAGAGAGAGGGGTTGGCAGTGGCCGAAGAGAAGGTAAATCTAAATTATTAAGTGGATATTTGGTTCGTATATTTAAAATTATGATTTAAAAATATTCTTATTTTATATGTATTTTTTATAAAAAAAAATACTATAGAGAATAATAAATTATGATTTAAAATTAAAAACAAATAGAGAAAATAAACATATCGTGTGTTTAAGTATTGATCAAAACAAAAATAGGCCAGACAGCTTTGACCAAGCAACCACGTGATTCCATTGCGGTTGAGAATTTCTAGGACATATTAGCACCTTGCTTTACCACCCACAACTTTAGCTCTTTACTATAAGCCTCATTGTTCAATTATGCAGTAATCATTTTTCAGCCAAAAATAGATAAATCATGCAAGTGATCATGTTTTCTTCGTTCAAAAAGTAGTTCTCCAGTTATTCTTCGGAGAATTCTACGGAAAAATATTATATATATATATATATATACACACCTCAGTAATTGGACTGAACAGTTAATCTGTATGAGATTCTCAATCATAGACACCAATTCTAAACTGAAAATAGAGCCTTTAAGCGGACGACCGTATTGAGGAGTAAATCACAATACGAAATCGACCGCACTATCATTTGAAGACAGGGACCGCTTCAAAGGACATTCCAACTCCGATCCTATCCACATCTATAAGGATGTGACAGCTATTTAAGAATTTGACAGGCATTTAATGCATGCAAAGTTAGTGGTGAAGCTGATGGGAAAGTCAGGCATGCTGGCCAAAATCTCAGTAATCAGAGGTCATTGTTTCGAGAGTTGGTAAAGATATCTCAGAATTTGATTAGGGATTTGATAGGGACAAGATGATGTATAAAAATGAGGAGAATGGTCCAGGATGGGGGTATGAGCTCTCTTTCTCATTGTAATATTTTCCCAAAACATAGTGAAATTCTCTCTCATTATCAGTTTTATATTTCTTACTTTAATGTGATTTAAAAACATACACATTTTCAAAGATAATTTAAGTTTTTTACGTTGTTAATTCTTAAATTGTTATACGAAATTTTGTGACAAGATAAAAAATTATCATATTTGTATCATACAGTTTTTATTTATTAGATCATATCAAAATTAATATGATCCAATAAAAAAAATCAATAAGTTTAAAATCATATTGAATTCAAAAAAATATAATAATTCAATAAAATGGGATAAAAGTCTAACTAAATTATCACCTTTAGAAAATATTAAAGCCTTTTTTGTCTTTATGTTTATTGATGGAAAAGTACAAAATCTAGGGTTGTTTTTGCTTAGATAGAAAATCTAGTCTTTTTTTATTTCGGCACTCAGCTAATACTTTGAAGTGGGCCACTTTCTTCCCCTTAATCCATAATTTTTCAAAAAGTGTCTGATTAAGCTAATTTGTCTCTTCCAAAGTGGGTTGCTCCTTTTTCTATTTTTAACATTTTTCGGTGCAAATGGTCTCTACTTGAGGACCCCACTTGCTTACTCATGGCAGCCATTTAATGTGTTTCTCCTCGTGCATGAAACAGAAACAATAAGGCCATGTTTGGTAGTTTGTGTTATATAAAGTGTATTGTATTGTGTTGTATTATCATAATACAATACAGTATTTGGTATGATAACGTATTGTATAAAGAGTTAAAATGTAAAATTTAATAATTTTAGAGTCAAAATGTAATTTTTAAAAAATTTTAAGGTCAAAATGTAATTTTTCAAAAGTTTTGGGGTCAAAATGAAATTTTATAAAAATTTTGAGGTTAAAATGTAATTTTCAATAAATATAAAATTTGCATTGTACCTCTAAACTTTTTAACAATAATAGGCTCCGACATGACCCTATATCAACCCGACTCTGACCTCTAATCTGACATGAATCATTGATCCACTATAAAATAATATAATACAATACGTGAAAAATGAGTTGTATTCAATAATACGATATAGACTATATTAATTTACCATCTATACTAGTTTATACAATAACGATGACCACACGAAATATTATATTATTGTTTTATTATATAATACGGTGCTCTAATACGATTAAACAAACATGCCTTAAAGTAACCATGTTCTACTCATATTTGGAGTAGAAAGATTTGGAGTACCTTCCTAAATTTGTTTGTCGTAATGGATTTAGTGCCTTACGGCAGAAACAAATAAATCATTCGTATCAAAGATCTTAACTTTGTAAGCAAAACAATGTCTCAACTTGATTTTAAGTAAAACCTCATGAGATAATTTGTAGGAAAGTTCATGAAATGCTACTCCCACCAAGGTAGGTAGTACCGTAGTAGAGCTAAATATTTTAAACGACAAAAACATTAAAGAGTAGTTTATATCATGCGTTTAAACTCATAATTTTAATTATATTACAGTATTTTTTTCTCATAAAAAATTTAAATTTTAAAAATTAAAATAAAATTTTTTTAATTTAAACGTATAAACCAAACGAACTCTAAAAAAAAGTTCAATGATTCAAAAGGCCAAACCAAACTTAAGTTGACCATGTACTTTCACCTTTTCAATCAATGACACACATTACACATTAAAAAATTTACCTAGGACACCGTAAAAAATGTTCAATATCATTAATGTTCTATAAAATTATTCCACCGAGCAAAGAGTAGATAATAAACTTTAGTATCGTACATTTTACCAATTCGAGTTTAGAATTCGAGTTTTACTATAATAAAAAGCTCTTAGAAACAGTCATATTTAACTTTTTTGTTACAGTAAAAAAATTATCACGTAAAGTTATATCTTACTTTTTTATTATAATAAAAAACTCTAACATAAAGTCACATCTTAATTTAAATTAAAAACTCGAGTCAGCGAACTAACTATGAACTTTTTATTAGTATATGGCGTTGTACTTCAGTGTTAGTTGCCACATTTAATGCAATTCATAGGTTGAGATTCACTCCTCGGCAGGGGAATACGGTTAAAAACAGTAACTACTTTCAGTACTTTCTCAGCTTCTAACTGTCCAACAAAAAACAGTAAAAACCGAAAAAAAAAAAAAAAAAAGAGAGAAAAAAAGAAAAAAGAAATGGCTGCACAAGCCCACGTTGTTTCATCGTCACCACCTTCTTCACAGCAGCAGCAGCTCATGCCATATTCTCAACACCAAAAAAACACACAACTTGATGCCATTACTAATCATCTTACCAATCTACACCACCAAAGCCTAACAACCAGATCCCATGCAAACTCAATACTTCTCTCAATCTCTCCATTTTCTTCTTCTTCTTCTTCTCTGCTGCAAAACCGCATCTGGGTTCTGCTCGATGGGCCCCATCGCCGCCTCCTCCAGTGAAGACGACACCTTTTTCTGCGCCATAGACGCCAGCGGCAAACAGCAAGTCATTTGCTGGGGCAAGAACTCATCATCATCACCATTATCATCATCATCATCATCTTCTTCTTCTTCTTCTTCTTCTTCTTCTTCTTCTTCTTCTTCGTCGTCGTCCTCCACAATTTTCACGAACATTCCTCCCATGGCGTCGCTCTCCGGCGGCGAAGGCTTTCTCTGCGGCATTTCAGCGAACACCTCGCAGGCACACTGCTGGACCCCACAAACAACGGATCTCGTCCCGTCAACGTTTTCCTCCATCGCTTACTCCCACATCGCAGCCGGAAAATCCCACGTCTGCGCCGTCAGAGGTCCGTACTACTCCGACCTCGACTCCGGCAATATTGACTGCTGGGACATCATCGTCAAAACTCCGAACAACGTAAACCGAACCAGTTTGGCTTCCAAACAAACAACTTTCTTCTACGACCAGTCCATATCAAACCTCGTATTCAAAAACATCGTCTCGGGAGACGGATTCTCCTGCGGAAGCATCCGATACGGGGGGCTAATCTGCTTCGGACCAAACTCGAACATTCTAGGAATCTCCGAAACGACCGAAAACTACGTCGTTTTAGCCTCCGGGAAGAACTCCCTCTGCGGAATCTCCGAACTTTCTAGAGAAGTGACTTGTTGGGGAGCGGAAAACTGGGAAGTTCCTCCTCCGAACGCGACAAAGTTTGTGTATTTGTCTTCTGGGTCTCAACATTTCTGCGGGATCCGAGAAGACAACCATGGAATTGAGTGTTGGGGGAGCTTCAATTCCTCGTACATTCCGAAGGGTGCTGGGTTTAAGGCCATTGCTTCCTCGGAGTTCGCGACGTGTGGGATTAGAGAAGACGATTTGGTACTGGATTGTTGGTCTAATTCTAATTTGTCCTCGGTTAATTATGATCCTCCATTGGAGCTTTGTAGTCCAGGGCTTTGTTCTTCGAAATCTTGCGGTTTGGGGGAGTTTAGTTTCAATGCAAGTTTGTTGAATGAGCCTGATTTGGTTAATCTGTGTGTTAGGAAAGATTTGAGGATTTGTTCCCCATGTGGGACTAGTTGCTCGGAAGGTTTTTTCTTGTCTAGTCCTTGTACTGAGAGTGGTGATAGAGTATGCACGCATTGCTCTCTGTGCCAGAACAGCTCTTGTTGGGACACTTGCGGCGGAGCGGTGAAGTCGCAGCCGGAGATGCGGCGGCTGTGGCACCATTTCCGCCGCGTGGTGGTCATTATTGGATCCTCCGCCGCAGGGGTTTTGATCATCCTGCTCGGCGCGTGGTGCCTTCTTCCGCGGTTGCTGGGTGGTTATGGTTCTGGTTCTAAGGAAGGGAAGGGAAAGAAGCAGTTCAAGTGTTGTATTGGGAAACCCCAGCTGGAGGCGGCGGATCAGGAGAATTTTTCTGATTTGCCTTTTCATTCTCCTCAATCTGCCGGGGTGGTGGCGCCTTGTCCGGGTGTTGCTCAAGTGTTTAGGCTGTCTGAGTTGAAGGATGCCACCAATGGATTCAAGGAGTTTAATGAGCTAGGGAGGGGCAGCTACGGGTTCGTTTACAAGGCGTTGCTCGCAGAAGGAAGGCAAGTTGCGGTGAAAAGGGCGAACGCGGCGACGATTATTCATACCAATAGTAGGGATTTTGAGATGGAGTTGGAAATCCTTTGCAGGATTAGGCATTGCAACATTGTGAACTTGTTGGGGTATTGTTCCGAAATGGGGGAGAGACTTCTTGTGTATGAGTACATGCCTCATGGGACACTTTATGATCACCTCCACGGCGGGCTTTCTCCACTGAACTGGAGCCTAAGATTGAAGATCTCAATGCAGGCCGCAAAGGGGCTTGAGTATCTTCACAAGGAATTCTCGCCCCCGATTGTTCACCGCGACGTCAAGACCTCGAACATCCTCTTGGACTCCGAATGGGGCGCGAGGATTGCTGATTTTGGGCTCCTCACTCCGAGTAATCACAAGGAGTACTCTAGTGGTGTAGGAGATTTGGCGAGTGATGTTTACAATTTTGGGATTGTTCTACTAGAGATTTTAAGTGGAAGGAAAGCTTATGATAGAGATTACAATCCTCCAAGCATAATTGAGTGGGCAGTGCCTTTGATCAAGCAAGGAAAGGCGGCCGCAATAGTCGACCGGTATATAGCTCTTCTACTTAAGCTTGCCGATGTGGCGGAACTGGCTGTGAGAGAGAATCCTAGTGAGCGTCCTTGCATTTCAAACATAGCATCTTCTTTAGAGCAAATTGTCAAGGATGGTTTGTTCTTGTAGTTTTAGAAAGTTGGTCAATCAGAAACTATTTGCACAATATTGGAAAGAGAGATGTGTATGAAGCCAGCCTTCAGTGACTACTTCTCCATTTCAACTGTACATTAGATATGAGATTCTTGTAAATGAGGTTACTTTTTACACCTTTCCTTTTTTTTTTTTTTTCATTGTCTATAAATTGTTGGCATTCCAAATTTGAGTTTCTTCTTGGAAGGTCATGTTTTAATAATATTTCGCCTTCCTTGTTTGTACCAAGAGCAATTATCTTCTTATTTTGTACCCCACCTTTGATTCTTTAATAGTACATTTACAAATTCTATAATAAAGTCTTTGTAATATTAAGGAATGATAATTGTGACTATACAAATTAAGCAAGATATGACATTCCCTAAAAGTGTCTAGTTGGTCTTTTCTTGTTTGATTTGACGGTCTTAACACTTGAAAATTTGAACTTTATAAATGGCATGTTCATGTATTTGCAAAAGTTCTTTTATTTTATTTTATTTTTCCAATTAGGAAATGATATCTTGGAAGGAAAGAAGGCTTTACAAACCAAAGTTATGGTACTTTTCTTTTTTTGGGGAAGTATAAAGAGAAGGGAATCCAGATCATCCGAGCACCTCCAAACAAGTCAGTTTCACAAGGGGAAAAAAAGAAGCTTGGCTTTATCGTGACCAAGAAAACCAGAGGGGAAAAAAGGGCCCAAAAAAACTTTTGGTACGCTTTAACAAATATGTCAACCTTATATTTACGTCTTCTTTCACTTCAGCTTGTTGTTTACCCCATTTTTCAGTGACAAAAAAGTTGAGCAAAAGGAAGTGGCCTTTCATGTGAAGTACTTGGTTTATTCTGAATTTGTTTGCTTAATGCCAAAAATCCAACTCAAAAGCTAGCTCTCATTGGTTTTGAGGGAAAACAGTGAGATAAAAAAGGAAAAGAAGAAAACAAAGGAAAAGTTGGTATGGGCTTATTTGGAGTAGCCTATTGGAAGCCAACTTGATTGAGACTGATTTTGGCTATATCAAAAAGACTTCCACTTCTATATAAATAAATCCCCACATCTCCAATAGATTCATATTCAGAAAGATGACTTTCTTCAAAAAAAAAAAGCTTTGGTGCATATGGTGGCTATACTTTCAAGTATTGGCTTCACCAATTTGTTTTGTTGAGGGGGGTATATATTGTAAGAGAACACCAGTTTTCATGCAAATTTTGTTATTTTGATTAGATTGACGTGTAAGATTGTGTGGTCTCGTATGACTATGCCTGGCTCCTTGTATGCCATTTGCTAAGCCTATCAGCGAATTGGTGGCTTTCGCTAGATGGCGTGCGAGGAGCCATGCATGTTGTGCATTCATAGAGTACATAATGTGTTTGATCACCAAATGATGTTGCTAATTTTCTTTGATTGAACAATAGTATAGGCCATGATGATCCAATAATTGGTGTTCGCATAGGAATGGTAAGGCATTCTCTGAGGTCTTCTAACATGTTACTTGATTAGTTAGTTATTAAGATTTACTTCTTTTGGACATGCTAGTATGATTTTATTGATCGAATGCAGGGTTGGGAATTCTGGCCATGCTTCCTCTTCTGTGATGCTCAATCAACCACTGCTTTCTATCAAGTAGGGGTGGCAAATCGTGTCGACAGAAATTTAGAGATACTAGAGATAATGTAGAGTCAATTATTTCGTGATCAATGGCCTTTCTTGTGGAAATCTAATAAAATACCTTTAGCAAATATGCAGAAGAAAAAAATTTGAAATGTATATATTTTTTGTCCAAAACACATCCAAGAATATGTATCCTCCCTCCAAAAGAAGAAAAGAAAAAGAAAAAGAAAAATGGAGCCACATCCAATGTGTACACAGTACATGTGTGGATTTTTGACACAAATTGGCAAGAGACTAACAAAACCTATTGTACAAGAAAAACTCTATTTGCCCACTAGATTGAACTCATATTTCTAACAAATTCAGATCAAGATCAGGCACGAGTCGGGACTAAGAGAATCGACATACTCATTGTACAAAAAGGAAAAAATCATGAAGGGTAAAAAAAAGAAATAGTAATGGGGATCAGAAATAAGAGGTGTAGGGGCTTTGCGAGCCTGCGGTTGTGGAACCCCTAGAGAAAACGCTCTGAGATGAGTTTTGTTGGTCCATTTTTATAGACATGAAATCAGTCACAACCCCTGGTTGGCAAATCTCAATATCTCCAATGTCAATCTCATTAGCCAACATCTTAATAGCCGTGGACATCCCCGGCCGCAGCCTCGCGGTTTCTTGAACGCAAAGGAGTCCAACTTTGATGAACCTCACAGCTTCATCCTCAGGATAATTCGTTTCCAACACAGAATCCACTAATTCAATGAGTTTATTGGATTTATACGCTTCCCACGCCTGCTTAATTCCATCCACAAACACAAAACAATGTCTTTCATTTGTACCATTTTGGTTAATTAGTTAGCTATATTAAGTTTGGCATTGCCCCCAAAATCAGTTTTGAACTTTGTTTACCTTCTGAACCAAGGAATGCTCTCCATGTTCCATGTCAAAGAACACAACCTCCCTGCCACTTACAATCTCCAAAAGCAACACTCCGAAGCTGTATACGTCTGATTTTCGTGTCAAACGCCCGGTGATTGCATACTCCGGAGCAAGATAGCCTCTATTTTGTTACCCCATTTTGAATGTGGAGAACCCCATTAGCAGCAAATTTTCTGGTATTTTTTATCTGAGAAAAATTAGAATTGGAATAGCGATTTCGACTTACATTGTCCCGGCAACACGAGTACTTATGTGCGAATGATGCTCCAGCAATATCTTCGACAATCCGAAATCCCCAACTTTTGGTGTGAAATTTCTGTCAAGAAGTATATTGCTTGCCTTGATGTCTCTGTGCACTATATGGGGTTGAACTTCCTCATGAAGATAAGCAAGTCCACTAGCTATTCCCAATGAAATCTCCCTTCTAGCTTCCCAACTAAACTTAATCCTGTTTTGTTCTCCACCTGTAAACACAAATTCCCCAGTCACTAATTTACTCAACAAATTTGGAAGAAAAAAAAAAAAAAAAGTAGTGAGAGAATACTAATTCATTAGTATTATTACGAAGTAACGTGTGAGAGAGGCTATTGTTTTCCATATAATCATAGACCAAGTATCTTGTAGCTCCATCAACACAACAACCTCTAAGCTTGACAAGATTTTCATGTCTAATATCCGAAAGCGCGGCTAATTCAGCGATAAACTCCCTTTCGCCTCGCATGGACTCAAGTTCTATGGAAAGCACTTTGACCCCCACAATAGAGCCATCCTTAAGCCGCCCCTTAAAAAGTCAACCATAACAATGTTCAACTTGATCAGCAAAAGAATTAGAACCGTAAATCAAAGCCACATAGTAATCTCAAACAAAATTCATGTTTAGACTAAGTTTAGAAGTACCAACCTGATAGACAGTTCCGAAGCCGCCTTCTCCGACTTTGTTCGACGAATGGAAGCCATGGGTGACTGCTTTGAGCTCATTATAAGTGAACACTCGGAAGTTTTCTTGGTTTTCTTCATCTGGGTACGTTCAAAAATCAATCATAATTCCACAAAACAAAACAAAAAAATCCAGATTCAAGAATATAACAAGTTCTAGAAATAGACAAAGGCCGTTCATTTTGCGAATTCGAGTTTTGCTTTTGTTATAGTAAAAAATTCTCATATAAAATCACATCTTAACTCGAATTATAAATTCGAATTAGTAGAGTGAACGAGAAGTTTCACTTACCGTTATTCTCAATGTCATTTGGCTTTGGAGAGGAGAAGCAACGGGTCCATGAAAAAAGGTTTTTCATTGTTTGTGGATAATTTTAACTTGATTAAAGCTTTCAAAAACTGAACCTTTTTCTTTTTCGGCTGCTAATTAGAGGGCATTATTGAGAGAGAAAAGAATAACCCGCAAGAAATATAAGAAAAAGCTGGACACGGCAAACTTAAACCCATATGTGGACACGGAATGTTCAAGAGCTTCTGGCTTTTGACTCTCTCCAATCTAAGGAATTGAAACTTTCTTCCCCATTAGAATTTTTTATTTTTTTTTAATTTTTGGTTAATCCTGTGACCTGTTGACTTGACCTGAAACTCACCTCGACCTCAACGTAACTTTCATCAGCAAATAAGGATATATGAACATCTCTTTCCAAAAAAAAAAAAAAGGATATATGAATATAAGAGTGAATGCAACGGTTGCAAAAGGACTAATACTATAAAGATTCTTGCTAAGCCACTGCTGCCTAATGTTGACTTCATTTGTCCAATAGATACTTTCTAAGAGTATAATATATATGTCTATATTTTAGAGGGTCTAATTGTTAATTTGAATTTTGTTGATTTGAAATATATTGAGCCCATGTTTGGTTTGTTGATTTGAAATATTTTATTTAAACAGAAAAATTCAAACTGTGTAGTTTAAATTATAGTTCGAATTAGTGTTTAAATGTTCAGTTAAAATTTTAATTTGAATAGAAAATAAAATTCAAATTTGTGTTTATAGGTGTAAAATTTGAATTTGTGTTTTGTACTTACCAAACACGAATTTAAACTGTGCTCACTGTTCGAATTGAGTTAAACTGAGCTAAACCAATGAAGCAAACGGGGGCTAAGTTTATGTTTATTTCACAACTCAAGCTAAGAATTTGAGTTGTACATGTAAGAGAAAATTACTATAATAAAAAAATTAAATTTAAATTTTTATGAGAGAAAATCTGTAACAATAGAACTTGAGTTATGAAAAAAATCATTTGAGTAAAAGTACCTCAGGTTTCTTTGTTTTTTTTTTTAAGTGTTTTTTATAGTTTTCATATATAGTATATATATATATTATTAAGATTGCCCTTCTCTTATTTTTATGGTTATTTTTGTGGAAAAATAAAAAATATCAGATAAAAAAATACTATTTATACCACACTATTCAAAAATTAATAATTGTTATTTAATTAATAAAGAGAAAATAAAAAATTATTATAGATGATGACAAATTATGTATTTTTCTCTAATTCTTTTAGTCTTTTTAACCCTATATGAAGCCCATCTTTTTCGCCCAAGATCGGTCCAAACCCCCAGACTGAAATGAGCAAAGGATCTAGACTTGAAATTCTATTCGAATTAAAAAAAATATATTCAGTTTCTGGTGGACCTTGTCGGGTTTTCGAGTCGGAGTGAAAAGACCTTCTCCACACTCACCCTGATCCGGCCCGATTTCACCATTTAGACAAGCAGGCCGGTGCCCGGCAACCTGAATTTACAACTCCACTTGTTGTTAGGAGGTTTTCTACGTGGTCTTATCCTGGCATAATTGAGATTAGTTTAGGTTCTTGTGCATCTACAAGTTACAGATTTAGTGTTCTTTGTTTTTAGATTTAGTCGACTCGCCTGCTTAGTTTCTTGAATAAATTATTTATCTCTAAGAGTCTATTAATTATTTCTAAGAGAAAGTTCAACGATTCACTTCAAGACTTCAAGACTTCTAGTTGATAGTTGATCAAAGGGGGCCAATTAGGAGCGTAAATTAGCCAGGTAAGGCCGGGTATCTTCATTTTTAGGGCCGAGCCGACTTTGTGAGGGTGGGAACCGCATTAATTCTAATTGCTCGGGTCGGCTAGGGTTTCAACTTGATCCTCGTCTCGAAAAATAGTCATTATAGAGGAGTGGCATAGAAAGAGATATATGGAGATGGCCGCCTAAAACTCTGAGGGAGAAAGAGAGTGACTACCAGAGATAGCCGCTTGAAGTTCGGGTATTTTTTTTTTTTTTTCCGAGTGAATTCTAAAAGAGACGGTTAGGGTTTTTTCATTAAAGATGTTTATAATGTGAGCCTTATTGTTGATCACGTATGTTGGTGGGAGCTGAGAATGAGATGGGTCTAGATTTTCTTCAAGATATGAGCCCAATGTTTTGATCTAATATACACAATATATATATATATATATAAGGCTTAGCACCCTTTGTTCGGCCGGGTCGGGAGAGTGCGGGTTCTCACTTTCTCAGCCCGCGTTCTAACTCGCACAATGCGAGTTGGTGATTTAAAAATTTGAAAAAAAATTTATTAAAAAATCCGTAAAATTCGGATAGAGTAGGGTCGCCCGGAGTAGCCGGAATTTTCTGTAAGTCCTAGGGCCAATAGATATCACATGGTTCTTTACTTCTTTTATATTGGAGTAGAGCCGAACCCAACAGAAACGAGGCAACTAATATATGTACAAGTGTGTGTATTGTATGTATATTAACCAGCAAAAAGTGCAGAATTCTAATGCCATCTTTGACTCATTGGGGACATATTGTGTTATTTTCATGTTATTGCTCCAATTTCAACCAAAAGTTACATAAATTTTTCATTAAAAAATTTGTAATTTACTAAACATAGAATTATTCGACATTATTTCCAGAGACGCATACTCAGGACTTATGCTTGTTGTGCAATAATAACCATTTTGAACAAGTCAGTTTCAAAGATTGCTTTTCACACCCTTTTTTTTTTCAAAACGTGCAAGACCAATTTCACTTAAAAATAAATAAAATTGAAGAGAAACGACATAGCAAATAACCAATTGACAATTCAAATAAGGACTGGTATAAGGACTCGGTTTTGAGACTTTCTTTCTGCCGAGTGTGCCAGCAACTTTGAATTGAATGAGGTCGTCAAATATTCAAATAGACAAAATATTTACTCATTAGTTTTATAGACCAAGAATAATGGAAGCTCTTCCTAACATTATTCCTTTCCACACAAGGAAGAGTAACTTTTGGTCTATTCCTGACTTAATATTAACAATGATATGCATATCCACAACAAACAACAAATACAATATACCAATTTTCCTTAAAACAAAAGATCGCATTCAATATTAGGGAATTTCTCGGGTAATATTAGAAAAAAAAATAAACTACCTACCTACAGTTTTTTACTTTTCAGCCGTTATATTTGTATCAGAAATTCTATGTCTTGCATTTTCTTAATCTGATTTGATTTTGACCAAATTCAACGGTCAAAAACTAATACTACTGGTAAAGAAATCTATCAGAAAAAGTTTCAAAATTGATCCTTAACATTACGAGATTGAGACGACAATAGATCAATTTTGAGAACCGTGACTTCTTTGAAATGGTTTCAAACTCTCCAATTAAGACAGGCTTTAAACCGGTCTTTTTCATGCTCTTTCTTCGCAACAACAGGTAAAATCACAAGAATACCAAAGGAATTCTATGTCTTGCATTTTCTTAATCTGATTTGATTTTGACCAAATTCAACGGTCAAAAATTAATACTACCGGTAAAGAAGCCTATCAGAAAAAGTTTTAAAATTGATCCTTAACATTACGAGATTGAGACGGCAATCGATCAATTTTGAGATCCGTGACTTCTTTGAAATGGTTTCAAACTCTCCAATTAAGACAGGCTTTAAACCGGTCTTTTTCATGCTCTTTCTTCGCAACAACAGGTAAAATCACAAGAATACCAAAGGAATTATATGAGATACAAGACAAAAAAATCTAGTCTTCATTGAGCAAAAAGAGGGATATAGAATGTTCAGAACATATATATATGTGATAAGTTCGGCCGAAATCTATTAATTATGTGGAGATGGTTACCTATTTTAACATGAGCTTCATTCAGTTTCTGATAAGTTGTATCTTTTTTTTCTTTTTTTATGAAATTCTGATAAGTTGTATTTTTCTTTTAATGAAATTCCGATAAGTTGTATGCATTAGAAAAGATAATGATTTTGGTATGGCTGTTTTAGTGTATAGAGATTGACAAAGTGAGATTGAAGCTCACAAACTCCTTATTTCTGGCTCCTTTTTATTTCAATGTGATCATTTATCTATCAATATCCAGTAGCTGTACTAATGAGTGGTGGCGCACACACAAATTTTAAAATTTTTATTTTTATTTTTAAACCGTTTCTTGTAAATTTCAGTTGTACTCATATTTTAATAGAAAAGTACAACTGTGCCCTCAATTTACATACAATTAATGAGTATTGAATCTCTTCGTTCCCATTCAATATTTAAAGAAAATGCCTCATATTTGCATTAAAGATAACCAGGAATTGATCGGAAACCTTAACTCATTCAAAATAGAAGTCATCTTAAATCTTGACAAATGTTGAACTTCACTAGTTTATAAGACTTTTTCCATGGGGTTTATAATAATAATAATAATAATATTATTATTATTATTATTATTATTATTATTATTATGAATTGATGATGATGATTATTATTATTATTATTACGATGATGATTATTATTATTATTATTGTCACTGGGTCTTTAATTTTTAAAACGCTATGAGGGATCTATGAAGTTTTTGAAAGTCAAGTCCATTTCGGCACATAAAATTATTATTATTGTCACAGGGTCTTTGATTTTTGAAACGCTATAAGGGATATATCTATGAAGTTTTTGAAGGTCAAGTCCATTTCGGCACATAAACTCCTAGTTCCTAGGACCATGACTACGAATTACAAGCCAATTCCCACTTTGTTTTGGTTAAAGCGCTCTCGAAAGCAAAACCTCTCGAATGCCTCCTTCCATAAGGGCAAGTTTGTAATGATATTTTCAAGCTCGCCCATTATATATATATTGACGATATTTTGGGGTGAAAAAGTTCTCACCTAATAGGAAAAAGTGCACCTAAACCCATTTTGTCATTATTATTAATATCATAAATAGCAATTGCACGCTTTTGCCAAATCAAACCTAATTGTGTCCTCTTATCTTGCTTAACATTTTAGTGCTGAAGAAGTGGTATTTCCTCCTTTTTTTATTTTTTATTTTTTATTTTTGGAATGATGATGGCTTCAAACTTTGACTCACTAAATCATGAAATAATAAAAAATATATTAATAAATAACAAAAACGATAATTGCAGTTTCAAAGTTGGCGTCCTTTATTTGGCATGATTTGCCATCATTCGTGTCTTTATCAATTGAAATGATAATTAAATACTTGTACACGTATATATCAATTATTAATGTTATGTGACAGGAATTAAATCTAATTATTTAGGATAAGGGGTTGTGAGATATGTCAAACTTTTTAATGCTGACAATTAGACAGTTAGCAGCTTCTTACGTGAGGAATAAAGCACGTACAATTTGGCAAAGGGAGATACAAGGATGAAAAGGTAAATGGATATCATATTATATATACATATTTACACATATATACAGTTAAAATCAGTTTTCGTATATGGTAGCAATGGAGGAAAAGAAAACAAAAGGTGTATTCGCCACGCGCGTGTATATATATATATATTTTTTTTTCAATTCGGCAGTCGTATTAATTTGACAAATATAATAATTTTTATTTACCTGCATGTATAACATTATTTGTACATTCGTAAAACACTCATTTTACTTAAATATAACACTTTATAAATTGTAATTTATCATCATGTTATATGAAATTACTTCAATATTACTAATTACATCCAAAAGAGTTACAATTATATATGAAAAATATTTCATTTACCAGCTTATAAAGGTGGTAAGGCACATGGATAACAATTTTGTAGTGTAGTACTTCACTATTTGTGGAACGGCCATATAATGTGGATTCCAAGTGGAATACAAGTGTAAAGCACAAAACTTCGAAGCAAAAACAAATATGAAACATATATACAGCCAATAACCACTTGTGCTTCATGAAAAAGCTATTCATATCCACTAGAAAAGTGGAAACTCGAAAAGACAGCCTTTTTTATTTTCGACATTAAAAACTCTTCTAATTTTATTTATTAATATATTTTGATCTCAATAAACGAGCATTTTTAAAGGAGTTAATTTCATCTTCTAACTCTATTGTTTGTGCGGTTTTCTAAAAAATCAACTTCTAGGGTTGTTCCGCCTGCTTCTCTTCTTTCTTTCAATTGCTCTTTTACTGAGGGCGTCAGAGATTATCCTGCAGAAGACAATTCGACGCTGAGTCAAGCAAATATTTAAGGAAAATCTTAGAATTAGAATGACATAAGAGTAAAGATAGCTTTCGGCCTAGAGGAGTAATTCGGTTCAAGAGTACTCTTAATAATCTTTATCGTTTTTTATTTCTACAATGACTGTCATGATCATGTGCATATTCTTGACCACCCTGATCATGACACGTCATCATTCCTATCCTATTAGAGTTTCTCCTATGACATTTCACTTTTCGAACTCAAAAAGCTTCCTAATTCAGGATAGATCACTTTTAATTTCGCTATTCACTTTACATGTGCCTTATTTGGGTTGGCCACATTAATTAGATGAAGATGGGACGCGTGTCACTGTCTTGAGATTCTTTCCCTTTGACACAAGTCATTCCTGCCTTCCTTTCGACCTCAGTCTATTTCATCTTTGATACGTCCGAGTTCTTTTTCAACCTCAGTCTCATCTCCCGATCGAGGTCCATATATACATTGCCTCGATCGAGTTGGGAATCAATCATCTTCCATATCTCAACCCCTATTTTTAATTTCAACCGCGATTTATGATATGTGTCGTGATCTTACACTGCCTCAACAAAATGCCCCAACAATCATGGCCAAATCTATATAGTCCTTCACTTTTAAATAAGAAAGTGAAAGAAGTAATTACACTACATGATAAAATTTCATACTTTGAGTTGAAATTTAGTAAAATTTTAAAATATTATAAATATAGAAAAAATGACATAATAATTATAATAATAATATCATATTTTATACTATATAATGATATAATTATTATTTAATGATATAAAAATGATATAAAATTTTACTATATTTATAATATTTTAAAATTTTTGCTAAATTTAAACTTTGATATCAAATTTTTACTAGGGAGAAAGAGGGAAATAAGCCAAGACTTGAGATGAATTAAAATTAATAGGTCAATAGTTTACATAAGTTAATAAATATGCCAAATTACTGTTTTCGTTCATAACTTATCTGGTTATGAACCATAACTTGATAAGTTATTGTCCATATAATTGTCCATAACTTGTCTGACTATGAACCATAACTTGACAAGTTTATCTATAACTTATCTGATTATAAATCATAACTTAACAAGTTATGACCTATTAATTTCTATAACTAAAAATTGACCTATATACTTTCTTAAACTTTTCATATTGACATATTTTCTACTATTTCCTTTTTTTACTATTTGCCTAAATCACCCAAAAGAGAAAGGGAAATAGTAGAAAATATGCCAATATAAAAAGCTTAAAGAAGTATATAGACCAATTTTTAGTTATAGAAATTAATAGGCCATAACTTGTCAAGTTATGGTTCATAATCAGAAAAGTTATGGACAAACTTAGCAGGTTATGGTTCATAACCAGATAAGTTATGGATAAAAACCGTGAATTATGGATAATAACTTGTCAAGTTATGGTTCATAACTAGACAAATTATGGACGAAAATAGTAATTTAACCTATTTATTAATTTATATAAATTATTGACCTATTAATTTTAATTCATCTCAAATATTAACCTATTTCTCTCTTGCTGCCAAAAAAAAAAAAAAAAAAAAAAAAAAAAACCACGGCCCATATGATTCAACCTATTGGACCGCTTTCAAGTAGTCCCATCCCATCCTATCCTTTTGCTTTGCGGCTTGGCACATGACAAAAACGACAAATTTGGTGACGTAGAGAAATGTAATGAAATTGGTTAACACAAAACTAAACCGCTCATTAATTTAGGCATTGGGATCTAGTTTCAAGCCACGAGTTCCAAACCTACATATTTGCTGTGAAATAGTTCCCAGGAGTCACGACTCACGACCACAAAAACCTAGAACAAGTTGGAAAGAAGAATAAACTTGTCTCAGGTTGGCACGAATAATAATAAGACCTTATTTGAAACGTTAATATATCAGTATGTTAATTTTTATATCCGTTAAATTTATATAAAATCACGTAAAAATTAAAAAATATATAAATTTAACAGTTAAAAAAATCTAACTTATCAATATATCATATATACTAAAAAAGCTCTCTAATAATAATAATAATAATAATAATAATAATGTAACAATAATAATATTAATAGATACTCTAACATTCTGGTACATGAACATCTTCGGTACATTAATATATCAGTACGTCAACATTTTCGATACACCAACATATTAGTAAGTCAAGTTTTTTATCCATTCAATTTATATAAAATCACATAAAAATTAAAAAATACGCGGATCTAACAGTTAAAAAAACTTGACAAAACGTGTCAAATAATAATTGTGTTGGATATGGATGGCCAATTTAATCATATTATCATGAGTTGGTAGGCCACACAATTTTACATTCCTCTTGTGGTTGTGGGATCAAAATAAGACATTTGCTAACTTACTATAGTTTTAACACCATCTAATTTCTAATTCTTGTGGGACTCATATTTTCCCACTCGTATCATATATCCTCCACCCTTGATGAACCACATTAAAAAATTTGAGGTAAACAGATAAGGACGATGTCCAGTAGATCGTTCTATTGGTAAAATTATTTTTTTAATTATTAAATTTTGTCAAAATTAAACAAAATTAAAAAAGTATACAGACAAATAATTTCTAATATAAATTCAATAACTAAAAACGATTGAAAAAAATAAAATTACTATAGTTTTATTTTTCTAATTTTACAGAAAAAACTCCTAAAAAGATAATAATGTTTTTCTTAACTTATTTACCAATCAAGAAAATCCAAAAGGTTGTCAATGTGCTCTATGATTCGATAAAATAGAGATCTTGATATGATTTATCGGTACACTTGACGCGTACTAAAAGATCTCTCGGTAAACTATTCTTTAAAAAAAATTTCAACGAGGCAATAGATTGTGTTAATAATGTCAAATGACTTGGGTACAAAATTACATGATTTGTTGTACGACTGTACTCTCTGATGTAACGGAAGTGAATGATATTGTATCTGATAGTGACACGACGTAGAAACAGTGCAAAAAAATTTCTGTAAAAGGGCATTTTCGTCTTAAAAATTTATTTATCACACACAAATCATCATCTTCAGTTAATCATGAACAAAAAGTCGGAAACCAAAAAAAAAAAAAAAAAAAAAAAGCTAAAGCTAACCGTTTTCTTCTCTTTTTTTTTTCCCTGCTAAAATTTAGCTTTAGCTGTTTAGCACAACCAGCTTCTCTCTCCTCTCTCTAAAGACTGTGGTGTTTTTGGTGGAGCTTTACGCAATCCCACCGAACCCAGAAAGAAGAGAAGAGATTCTCATTTTCTCTTTCTTTTCATAATATAAGCTCTCTCTCTCTCTCTCCTCGTTTTCTCCGATTCCTTTCTCGCTAAACATGCGATCCGACTTTGTTGAGTCGAAATTCTGAAACCCAAAAACAATATCTTTTTTTCTTTTTAATCTCATTTCCGTAAATGGGTAATATCGGAAGTAGCGGGGCGGCGAGCCCCCCCGC